TGTTCCCGGGGGCCAGCCTAGGGCTGCAGTGGCTGGCTGGTGATTGCTTTCAGGGGATGGAGTACTTGCTGCCCACACTACGGTCATTCTGGGATATAACTGTGCCCTAAGCTTGCTGCCCCGTGTCATTAGTAAGTATAGCTGTCCCTGCTATCGCACCCTTCCCTTTCCATTTGATGAGAAAGGATCACATTATAGGCACACCCCATAGTCCTGGCAGAGCCACACCTTGATCTTGAGTTCAGTGGGAATAAGAGAAATCTGCAAGCTGGTGATCCTAGCTCTTACCATTCCAGAAGGGATCATAAATAAACAGATTCAAGGATAGGTGCATGGACACATTGACAGACAGATATATAAACTCTCTCTCAATAACCATTTACATCCACTTCTTTAGTTCCTTTTTGGAGTTGAATCTGGGGATGCTGACTCTATTCAGTCTAATAGTGGACCTTGAAAGGTCATCAAGTTGAGTCCAGTCCCCTGCCTTCACAGCAGGACCAAGTACCATCCCTGATGAATTTTTGCCCCAAATCCTTCTGCAAGGATTGAACTCAACAACCCTGGGTTTAGCAGGCCAATGCTCAAACCACTGAGCTATCCCTCCCCCCTTTTCAGTCTTTGCTGAAGATCCCTACAGACTGAATTCTGGGTTTCGAGCAGCAGTTTAATTAGACTTTTTTTAAGGCATGGAAGAAGGGCAATGAGGTAAAGTCTGGGTCACACAAGGTTACACTTACTTTCAGTTGTCATACAGCTTTAAAGTCAGAGTCCCTATACCCTCTTGAAGGTGTATTTGACCAATTTATCACGAAACTCTCTGCAGTGCAATCCGTAAATGAAAGGGTTGAGCATGGCAGGGACGAGGAGATAGAGGTTTGCCAAGATGACGTGTGTGTGGAGAGCGATACCCTTCCCAAAGCGGTGTGTCACAATGGAGAAGAGGCAGGGAATCCAATGTAACAACATAACACTGATGTGGGCCGTGCAGGTGCTGAGGGCTTTTTCGTAGGCTTTGTTGGAAGAGATTCTGAGAACGGCCCTGATGATGAAACCATAGGTCAGGACAACAAGACTCAAATCTAACGCAATGTTGAAAATAGTTAGCACCAAACCATACATCCCAATAACAGCGATGTTCCCACAAGAGAGCTTTGCCACAGTCATGCCATCACAGTAAGTTTGGGGGATAACGCGGCTGGCACAGAATGGCAACTTGCTCAGGAGCAAGGGCACGGGTAGGACCAAGAGAACAGATTTCAGCAAACTTGCTATCCCTAGCTTAGCAATTAGTGTGTGGGTGAGGATGGTGGCATATCTCAGAGGGTTACATATGGCAAGGTAGCGATCAAAGGCCATTATTTCAAAGACAGCTGACTGCATAAACAAAAGGATGTTAAGTTGGAATATCTGAGTGAGGCAGCCGGTCAGACTAATTCCTTTCAAATTGAACCAAAATATACACAGAGCCTTTGGCACAACCAAAGTACAAATGGAGATGTCTGTAAACGCCAGCATGCAGAGCAGCAGGTACATCGGCTTGTGCAGGGTCT